CTGCCTGCAGTGTCGCTCTGATACGGCGCAAAGTTTGTAAACCATAATTATCTAGGAAGGCACGCACACGGTTGTTTACTTGGCTGGCTGGAGCCACGCAAACCACTCTTATATATTTGTAAACTAGACATCGTCACCCAGCGTACTTTTTACGTACTGGAAAGAACTTCACTTGTTTAACAAAAAGATACGACTGAGCTCCCGTTTGATAACAATAGTATACAGTTAATCACTTTATTCTTGTAATCCTAAGATATATACATTTTGAAACTGGGTAACAAAAGTACTAGGCTGATATGAATAAGTGTTTGTAACGTTACGCTCTAAAGTCATACGACTAGAACTAGATCAGGCCCTTTAAAGATTTTTGCCGATAGGTCTACTTTTATCCATAATTGAGGATAACGGAGCCACTCTATTTACAGTACATTCGTAATGTAATTTATACGCCATTTTAGCCAGCAACATGTCATGGCTTAAGTGAACAGATAATGCGTTCTTATATCCCCATGCGAAGGAAAGTTGTTATAATGTTATAACTGCACTTCAACAACAAAGGTCTTTAAGCGCATACCAAGGTAAATAATACACTAGTCCAACAATGCTAAAAAAATGAGAGATAGAATTCTGTGTAGAAAAAGGCAAGAGTTGACATACAACCTATTGGTGGTAACTATAGCAAAAAGTGTATTTATATAGCATAAATATCATGACTATTATAGCCGGGTATTTCTCTCCAAAATGTAGTATCAAAGTGCAGGAGTCATTGTTTATTTGTATATGTAACATTGATTTAAGAACATAAGAAAATAAGGAGTCTGCAATAGGCCGGTTGGCCTGTGCATGGCAGCTCCTGTCGAAAGTTACTATATTACAGTATGTAATATACGTTAGGTCTATAATGTATATGGTATACATAAAAGTTTTAGGGAAATGTTCATCAATAAATGAAACGTGTTTATCATTATATAATTATAATAAATAGCTACTGATTGTGTGTCTAATAAACAACTAATATCTTGAAGTATACCTACGATGTGGAGTATTATTTTACAAACCTCTTTAGTATTATGACATCATGGGTTATCAACAGTGCAATAATAAAATGTGATATAAATATTAAAAATCGACCAAGTTGGCTACAGGTTACCTGATGAAAGATAAAAAATCTGACGGACAGTTATCAACATAGTACACCAGTGGTCCCCAACCTTTTGTAGGCTCTGGGCCACATTTATCATTGTAAATATAGTGGAGGGCGCCAAAACTTTGGATCTAGAATCACGAAAAAAAATATCATACTGTAGTTATTTGCAGTTTTACACGTCTAACTGTTACCAGTTACATACTTTTTTACATACACACGTCCTGTACACGAGACTCGGGACAAACGCGCAGTTCCTCTCTCTCTCTCTCTCTCTCTCTCTCTCTCTCTCTCTCTCTCTCTCTCTCTCTCTATATATATATATATATATATATATATATATATATATAAACTTAAGCAATGGACTTGTTACGTGGAAAGCGTAGTTTAATTATTATCATTTCGCCCCAACGCCCTAATGTGGGTCATGACCTGTGCCGTGGTCGGCTAATCCCGTAAAAAAAAAATGCACGATCCAACACCTTAAGCAGGGAAGGACGCCAGTGGCCTGTGTCCCCCATTGATCTTGATAGTTTTGTCAGGACTATTTTGAAGCCAAGTACTGTACTGTTCTTGATTCCAATGCTTGGGCTGGTAGACCGTTCCATGGGTCTGCCACCCTGTGTGATTGGTGAGTCTATTCATCCTGAATTTCTCGATCAGCTATGACGGACTTGCCTCAATCCGCCTGCGCGGATGCAAATTTGAACCAAATCTGGTCCAACCAAGCGGGTATTGAATCAGAGTCAAATTACTGAAAGGCAAGCGCTTCGTCGATGTAAATATAATGTATTGTAGTGGATTTCTCCCCTACAAACGCTGTTTGTCGCTGAGTAGCCGACTCAGTGAATTCCCCAGTGTATGCCTCGTGGTCTGGGTCAACCAGCGCCGCCATACATCACGGAGGTCAACTACTAAGCCACGCCTACCCCTGCTATTTAAGACCTGACCTCGTGGTGCCCTCCCAACCCTCTCTCACCATGAACGGTTACGAGTTTGATAACGTGGCGCGGATACGTCCGGATACGCCGACCTGCCCCAAGAAATTAAACCTCCTAGTTCTCAAGAAATTCTTTGAAACCAATGAGATCGTGGGGGTCACCAAGGTGGAACGACTGAAGCTCCATGGTGACATCAAGATCACCTTCGCCGAGAAGGGCATGCCCGTACAGCTCGCGGAGATCCCAGACATCAACTGTGCCAGTCAAGCCCTACTGCAGACCGAAACGCTGTTACAAATGCCAGCACTGCGGACACACTGTCAACAAGTGCGAGGCGCAGGAGGACACCTGCTCCCTGTGCGGCAACCCCGGACACCGCTACACGGTCTGCCCCAACACAGTAAAAAAATGCGCTGCCTGTGGCGGCCCACACTCCTCCGCCGATCGGACCTGCCCGAAATGGAAGGAGGAATGCAGGATAGCCAAGGTGCGACTCGACAAGAAACTGAGCTACAAAGAGGCCCTCCTTGCTGTACGCTCCCAAGACAAAAAAAAAACCAGCAGAAAAGAAAAACCAAGAAAAGAAAACACAAGAAAAGACACCCGCCACACAGAATCAAGAACACCACGAGGCCCGTGGAGCTGAAGCCCACGTGGTCAACCTCACCGTCTCCGACTTCTTCCACACCTATGAGGACTTAAGACACGAGGAAGACGAACAACAAGACCCAAACACGAACGAATGGACACTCCAAGAGAGCAAGAAGAGGAGGATAGTTGGAAGAAAATCTACATCAAGCTAAATACCAAGAAAGAAGACCAAGACATTTCCTCCACACAAGAAAACAACACACACAATCAAGCCGACCAAGCACTGAGAATTCAAGGCCCAACCCAACACGCACCTGACGCTAGCCTGACTGTCCTGTCGCCTTCTGGCCGCGTCCGGGCGAGTTGCTGCTGCCTCCAACTTATACTCCCTCACGCAAGCGGTGTTTAGCCACTGCACCTATTCTCTCCTCCTAAAATTCACTTCAATCCTCCCTTTATTCTTCCCCTGAACCTCCTTCCCCCCCTGTCATTAGCATTTTTCGATTCGATTCGTGCCCTCCCTTTTCTTCTAGCTACAGCCGCAGCAAGCTACACCTACTCCTCCTCCGCCGCTGCCTGGCGGCCCTCGCTCCCGCCGGCGAGCATGGCGACCCACAAGCTGTCCTTCTCTGAGCATCCTCACCAACCAGCTCTCTCTACATCACGCTTGTAACCACGCTGCCACTTTCCAGCACCAAGCTGCATTGTACATCCAATACAACATGTATACAGAGAGCACATTGTGAGTTTCCTTTCTCCATCCCATCCTGAGTGTGAACCCAAAAATCCCATCCCCCACAAATGGTGACTCCCGGAAGATTCGCACTCACACAGGATGGAGGAAAAACAGATCACGCTCCCAGTCTTCAAGCAACATGGAAGACTGGCTTATCCACCCAGAAGCAGCTCTCATCGGCTCTACAGCTACTGTCTCTACACCGCAGGTTAGACACCCTAGAGCAGCTCTGCTACTCTAAGCAGACAGCCGCTCCTCTTCCTGCCCCAAGCACCACGTCCTATCGAGCCCAACACACCCGTCCTGCCTCAGACACCGCCCCCGGCCCAGCAGTACCCCCTTCCGCTCCTCCTGATGCAGCCCCTGCTCCCGACGCGGCCCATGCGCCTGAGTGCGGACCCACGCACCCCTCTTTTCTCCCTCAGGTACTCCCTGCTACTGTCCTGCACCCTGCTGCTGTCGTGGATCCAGCTGCTGTCACGAGCTCTCATCCGCTTCTGCTGACGCAGCCCCTGCTCCTGACCCAGGCCCACACACCCCAGCAGGCGCATCTGACGACTCTGTACCTGCCGTGAGGGAAGCACAACATTCATCGCCTTCACACACCCTTTTTCTCCTTCTCTACTCCCACAGATATTGTGTATCTAGACAGTTGTCTCCTCTAGCTGCCGGTTCATCCACGCCCTCGCCGTTATTGCTCACATGAGGCATGCACCGCCCGTTCTGCCTCACATGTGCCATACAACCCTGCAGACAACAAGTCTCCTACACCGCCTGGAGGGAAGGGGAAGTATTGTAGTGGATTTCTCCCCTACAAACGCTGTTTGTCGCTGAGTAGCCGACCCCGTGAATTCCCCAGTGTATGCCTCGTGGTCTGGGTCAACCAGCGCCGCCATACATCACGGAGGTCAACTACTAAGCCACGCCTACCCCCGCTATTTAAGACCTGACCTCGTGGTGCCCTCCCTCTTCTTCTAGCTACAGCCGCAGCAAGCAACACCTCCTCCTCCTCCGCCGCTGCCTGGCGGCCCTCGCTCCCGCCGGCGAGCATAGCGACCCACAAGCTGTCCTTCTCTGAGCATCCTCACCAACCAGCTCTCTCAACATCACGCTTGTAACCACGCTGCCTTCCCAGCACCAAGCTGCATTGTACATCCAATACAACATGTATACAGAGAGCACATTGTGAGTTTCCTTTCTCCATCCCATCCTGAGTGTGAACCCAAACATCCCATCCCAACAGCATATCATATCTTTTATTTTATTATTTCACTTTTTATCAGCTTGCTAGCCGTTCGAACGATTGGTCAGAATTCTGTTACAAAATTTACAGCGCAGAGGATAATAAAAGTAAAAAGTACATAGGGAAACCGCAAACCTACAATGTTTGGTAGGGTCACACACCTCTGTACCACCAGTAATAAGAAAAATAACTGCGTATTAAAATGCTTTATATAGTAATATAGATATTATAATAATATTAAAACAATATATTTAAATAGAAAATGGGAGATAAGTAGAGATAACAAGTATAAATAAAAAATAAAATACATATAAACCTAAAAGCACATCCTATCCACTGCGTCACTCAACACAGCCTTCTACAACACACTAGCTCTACGACCTTCTGGTTGATTTTGAAATTTCCAACACAATTCTTCGATTATTTACATTGAAAGAAGTTGTTATAATCAGTAAATGTGCTTCTTGAGAAATGGAGGACGGCCCTGATATTGAAGCTAACTCGGTAAGTAAGAGGCAGATACAGTTCATGAAATAATGACCAATACAGATTTTAGGGCATTACATTCTTCCCCAAAACACTTATGCCAATCTCGGTGTTAGAACGTTAGTTTACCATTTTTATATCGTCAATTAAGTTACTGGTATATTATAGCCAGCAACACAGGCTCTTTTGAGTACAGGATGTAATTTTTATATATAATAAGCTCAGTGATCATCATAACTTGGTGGATGAATTTTAATAATTTAGAATTTTTTTTATCTTGCTAAAGTCACTTGAGATTTATAGTCTAATCCTTGACTATAATTCTTGAGGTTACAATAAATAATAATTTAGGTGTCAGACTTATGGGAAAGAGCTACTGTAGAAGGAAAATTATTGTAATAGTTTACAACAGCCCTTGTTATTATGAGCCTCTTTAGAAACAATTATATTACATAAATTTTTTTCTAATACCTTGAATAATAATAAAACGTTGCAGGAATTGGTACTCTCATACTTTTGCTATAATATTTTTTACGAGGAAATTTCCTGCCATGTTTAGGGTAAAACTGTTGACACACTTGACAACAAAAGGATCCTAATGTTAAGTAACCTTCTCAGCAAACTTTCCACATGAACCATTAAGAACAAAGCTAGTATTGATTAGTTGCACACCTCAACTACCTACTGTACGACATTGCACCTTAGAACATAAATGCTTTCTCACTTCATGAAATTTGTGAAAAGTGCACAGTAATAAATTTTATGTAATACAAATACAGTATTATGATATTTTTTCTCTTGAACACATTGTATGAGTGCTTCCTCCGTCCTTCGATGTAGCCATGACTCCCTCGCCAATAACCCTGTAAACTAATTTGTTCTTTTCATTGAAGCATTTTTGTATTTTTCTTGCATGTTAATACATTAATTTACAGCATGTTAGGGTAAAGATTCTGTAGATGTCAACCACGGAACCCGATACTGTATTGATTTGTTTATAGGAAGATAGAAAAAATAACCTTCACAGAACTATCATCGGAAATTTAAATTTTCTTTTTTCTTTTTGATTTTACTTTAAAAAATTCAATTTTGTTCACACAGAAAGGACACGGATGTGAAGTAGAGGGATGTTATGGAGTAAAAATATGTAAAAAAAAACTGACGAAACCAAACCTAACGATCACAGAATTTTTTAAAAAGTGTAATTCTGTACTATTTACAAAGCCCAGGTTAAGGAAACGGGTTTGAAACTTTTCAATAGAAGAAATTTTTTAGTTTATCAAGAACACTCCAAATATGGTGGAGGAAATAATTTTTTGCCAAACATAAAGAAATAAACATTTCAATACTGTATAGAGTTCTGTGGTTGACGTCTCCTAAATCTTAACCAATGTTAGGTTAGCTTTTGTAGGTTTAGTTTGGTCTTGTTGATTAGGTTGGTTTAATTTATAAATGATAAATTACCCAGTATTTATACAGTATTGTGAAAATTTCTGGTACAGTCAACCAAAGATGCACTGACTCCACCCTGTGTCTCGTATTTGCAATTTTACCTGGCAATACAGGGGGGCCCCCCCCCCCCAAATTCGCTGGAGTTAGGTTCTCAAAATGGCCACGAATCGCCAAATCCGCGAATAACATTTGCGGACTGGGGAGGGGTACATTTTTACTTGTGTAAAAAGAAATGTATATTCACTTTATGTATTTGCCCTTAGGACAATTATTTATTTTACCTGTATTGTATATATGTTGTGTGTGTAGACACACACACACACAAAACACATGCAAATAAATGATAATGGGAAAGTCCTCTCACAAATAATCAGAAAAAAAAATTATTCAGAATGTGACAGTCTACCCTCAAGTCGCTGCTTTATTACTTTATTAATAAAGCACAGACTTGAGTGTAGACTGTCACATTTAAATAAAATTATTTCAGATTATTTGTGAGAGGATTTTCCCATTATTATTTATTTGTATGTGTTTTGTGTGTGTTTACACACACACACAGATTTACAATACAGGTAAAGGAAATTACTGTCTCTCGAGTGAATGCCTCCCTGTCTCAGCCTCGAAAATGCCGGCAACTTTAAAACTACCCACTGACATTCTTGGGTACATCCAGGGTGTCATCCACGAATATTAAAGAACCACAAAATAAAAATCCGCTAACTTAGGGGGCCCCCTGTACTGGGTAAAGTAAGGCTGTATGCAAAGGTGATTGTGATTGGTGGATGTGCAGTATTTTTGGCTGTATCATTGTCAGGCTAAATATTAAACAAACCAAAGGTAGCATTTTGATAATAAACTATTCATCGTTATTTAAGGTCACGAGAAGTTCCCAAATTTTCATGTATTTGTTTAAACAATGAAGAAAATTATATTAATGAATTGGCAACTCAACAACAGCCACAGCTGCCACAAGATTCTCATATAAAATTTTTCATAAATTCTTGTTAATTTTAGTATACACTGTATTACTGGTACAGTATTGATATTTTTTTATATTATTAAATATACAAATAGTAGCTATTAGCTGTTGCCGGATTTTCATGTTTATTTAAAGAATCAGTATTATCTACGAAATATTAGTTTGTGTCATGGTGCCAGCATAAAAAAGTACATTGTAATGGCAGCTTCCCTGATAGCTCCTGGCATCATGAAGAAGTCTGTTGAGGATGAGTCCATCGTAAAACCAAATATAGGAAATTTTGCAATTCCTTCACCTATTTCTTTCCATTCATGAGGTAAGAAAAAAGTATTCATCTATAAAAAATTTCTTAGTATCCCTGTAATACAGTAGAGTCGCAACTTACACGGGGGTTACGTTCCTGGGACCCCACGTAAAGTCAGAAACACCTAAAAATCCCTTAAATCACTATACTGTATACACATTCATATACACTAGCACTCATAAATCACTACTGTAATGTAATATCAACATCTGTAGCAAGTGCATAACACCATGAATAAAACACAGACATTATGTAGACAGATATGTGTTGTTGTTTTGAGATTATTCATCCCCTTCCCACGTCACCATAGGGGGATCGTCAAGCTCAGATAACGATGCAGGGGAGGATGTGGGCAGCTCAAGGTCACTGCGAGAAGTTGAGGGCTTTGGCTGATCTGCTAACGATGTTTTCTTAAAGAGCATTGTGATGGGAAGCTGTCGTTGTTGTTTCTTAAGCTGCTGGAACATATTCTTATATTGAGCCATAAGGCTTGTAAGACCTCATGGGAAGTTGATACTGCACTCCTTTGAGGGGTCATACTCAGACACTAAGTTTCTCAAGTGCTCGACCACCTGAAACACTTCACTAAACGTGTATATATCCCAACACGCACTCAATTGACACATACGAGAGGCAGCTGTTACTCCAACGATACACGCGCGGCAACTGAGACAGACAGAGGTGGGATGGTGGGGTGGTGTGTTTGGCGGGCTTGTGACCCATTTTGAAAGTTTTGAGCTTGAAATTGGAAATTGTAACCTAACTCCCGGGGTAATCCGTGTACAGTATAGTTGAAACCGCATAAGAAAAATCCGTGTAAGTTGTGAGTCTACTGTACTTTATATGTCGAACTGATGGGAAGGAGCCACATTAGGGAAGTTTTCTATAGAAGGTTCACCAGTCTCCATTAAATATGAATTTGGTATAGTAATGGTTTTCATCGAGTAATAATTAGTTTTTTCAGAACATACGGTTCATCACACAACATCATGCAGTTTTTCCTTCTGATGAAGTGAAACTGTCGAATGACCATTGCAGTTTGGTAGCTGTTGCTGGCAAATATGGTTTGATTTTCGTTGGCTGTGGGACAATTATCAAAGGTATAGTATGTTAATGTTTTTTTTTTATATATAATTTAAGTAAAGAAATATTTACTGTATTAGCTTAGCCAGGGATTATAATGCCATTCTTGATATTAAATCTCATTTAGCAACGGTCTGTTTTACCTAAATCTATAAACCAAAGCTTTAAATGACCATGTAAGGTATACCTGTACTGTATTTTCATTCACTGAAGTCACTACTTGATGTTTTTTCCTTTAGAAAAATCCTTCATTTGTTGATTTTCCTTTAAAGTATTTTCATGAATTGTCACTTTAATTTTGTTTCCATTTCTATCCTCTTATTGCTTATCCTTGATAACCTATCATCCCATGTGAATGTGATAACTCTGAAGAAATTTAAAGATTTTCTTGCAATTTCTCGGGTATCCAGTTGCTGACTAACAGGGTTGTACATTATGTTCTTGGGGTACTGTATTTTCACATAACTTAATGTTTTCTGTTTTAGTTTCTTGGAATGTGTTTCTAATTGGAAGGTTTTACTGCTTTTAGAAATAAAGCCATGATCTATTGATGAAGTGTATCATGATAGAGAAGCTTCACAACTGGGACTCTGCCATCCTCTAAGACTAGTTATGCTACAAACAATCCAGAGCATTTACACACATAAATGACAAAATGAAGTTTGTTATAGTTTTTATATATTTATTAGGTTAAAGGACTGAGCGAGGCAGTATGCTAGGAAGGTAGAAACCATTAATTTGTTTAAGTCAGGTATCCACTTGTACAGATGAACTGCAAGACTGCAACAATACAGTAAGTATTTTCTACTTTGATAGAAACAATCATTGCTCATATAGATACTGATGATTAGCTTCCTTGTAATAACATGGCATATGTACCAGTATTTATAATAATTTGCTGATGTTCAGATTGGATTTAGGATTGAAAGGGACTATGGTGGAGTCATTTCACAAGTGTGGTTACTCACTTCTTTAGGGAGGTCCCCCTGAGGAGGTGACAATGGCAGACAAACCTTTAGGCTACCTTATCATTACATACCTCCCTACTAATTTCTTTTCTGTTTATCCCAACCCTTTTTCTCTCCTTAATGTATGCAGTATTTCCACTTTTTCCTCCTCCAGTGCATACCGTATTAGTACCTGTACTGGATTAGATTTCAGATTTCTGACAACTGCAGATGTAGATGTGACATCCATCTCTCGTATCACACATTCCTGCCTCTTTACTGTACAGTATTTTGAACTTGTATCTCTTAATTTACTCCTTCACACACTTTTACACATACTATACAGTACTACTTTTGTAGAGTGCCTTCACTTCATCAGGCAGATTTCCTCCTACTCCACAAATCCCCTCTACCTCTTACAGCACTTCTTGATTTACCCAATCATTATGCCTTTTCCAGATTCATAATTGCTACATACAGTGTCTGAATTTTTTTTCAGCACATTACAGTATATTTCTCTGTGACTGTTTTTATTGAAATTATTATGTACAGTATTTGTATAATCCCCACTCACCCTTAATCCTCCCTGCTGCTTACCTTTACTGTTATAGTTCTCAGCCTATCAGTTACAACCATGACATACACTTTCCCAGGTACTGTATACTCAGTGGATTGAGTGCTAAAAAAAAAAAAAAAAGCAGGTACAAATACAGTGTTGGATATAGATAAACCATGTATACAGGTAAATGTTGTGACTCATTTAAAGTAGATTAAACTGTTTAGTTTATAGGTCCCCCACTGATTTTCCGGCACCCTTGGTTCCAAAGCCTTGCCAGATAATCCGTTTTGTCGGACCCACTAATGATACACCTCCCATGTTCTCTAAAGCACAATGGACTGCTGGAAAATAAAATTAAACAAATATTTAATGTGAAAAAGAACATAATTTTGAGAAACATTATTGTACACACTTTGTACTCAAATGTACTACACTAGACTAAAAAAAATATCTTTTGTGCAAACTATTTGATGCTTAAACAGTGGTCTCTCGGTTAACGAGCACAATCCGTTCTAGAAGGTTGCTTGTTAACCAAAAACTCGTTAACCGAAACCATTGTTTCAATGGGTTTTGGGAAATTGGTTCCAGCTCACCGAAAATTGCCTAAATTCAACAAAAAAGGTAGAAAAGTACACTTACTTTGAGGTGTGTATGTAGGAGGCTCCTGGATGATGATGATGGGAATTAGAATGGGGGTGGAGAAGGGAGAAGAGAAGGCATTGGGGTGGAAGAGAAGTCACCCCATGGTGCCATTTCACCCATAAAATTTTAGTTCTCTTGGTGCAATTCAAGATTATTTTCTTTAAATCAACACTGCACTGCATTATATATTGTCAATATGTAAAATAAATTTCAAAATGACCAATAATTTGCTTGCAAAAACAAAAAAAGCATTTAGTTGAAGAGAGTCTCAAGCAAGATGTTACCTCCACTGAAAAGATACAAAGACTGACACCTGTATGGTGTGTTGAGAGGCTGGATGGCACGCATAAAACTAGTTTCATTACCTTCAATTATGTTCAATAATTGTTAAAATGAGTAAAAATTTTAATATTAAACTTTTAAAATTATTGAATAGTATAAACTTCTTGATATTTGCTAAAATGGTAAGGAATTTAAGCCCTAGAACCGATTGTTGTATTGGCGGACAAATACTACAGCTGGTGGACCGCCAAATGCAAGCGAAAATCATGTTAGGTTGGCTCGTAAGAAACTCGTTAATCGAGGGATTGCTCGTTAACCGAAGTTAAGAATCTTATGGAAGGTAACTCGTTAACCGAGGGACCACTGTACTCAAATTAATCACTATCTTACAATGATTCCAGCAGTGCAATTTATATTCTGCTAAGTCTAGTCAGCTACATTTTATAAGATAAAAACTTTAAGCCTAAATCTAGCTTCACCCAGGCTGGGAGGGAGGGAGGGAAGTTAAGTGCCCCTTCATAATTTTGTCCGGATTTAAGGAGGTGCCGGACCATCAGTTCCCAGATAATCGGTACTGTAGACTGAAATAATTATAAATTTTTTCAGTGTTTGAAACCAAAAGTGTGGTGGAGGCTGGAGAGAATCCTTTGGCAACTGTAAATACTGGTGCTACTATAACCCATGTTTCTATCAGTTGTGATGGCCTCACACTCATGGTCATCATCCTTCACAATAATACGTCACATGCCCTCTTCTATGAGATTCGCAACTTTGCGCCACAGGTGAGTACTGTTGCAGTAATTTACAGTAATAAGAATCATATTGTTGGCTGGGTATATGAATGGATAATTAAGTGTAGAGGGAGTACAGTACAGTAGTAGGTTCCAATCACTTAGCCTCCATCTTGCTATTTTTGGTTATATGTTTTTCATTAAGTTCAAAAATATTTCTGGAGCCCATTATGTAAGGATGAACACAGTTATAGCCCACATTCCAAAAATCTTACTTTGCCTTTTAAGTTACTGCTTTTTCACAAGTTGTCTGTGTACCATGAAATATAACATAAAAAAAAATCAACATTTAGTCTTAAGGAGGCTAAGGTAGTGTTTGTGTGGGTTTTCCATCATGATCATTGTACTGTACTGACAGTACTGTACTGTATTAATAAATAAGTCTAAGTTATGAAAATAAATTTAGTACATACTGTACGGTATTATAAAAGTTTATAAACTTAGAATTATTGTGTAGTGATTTTGTTTGTTTTCTTTAAATATTTAACAGTGTGGAGATCAAAAACCATTTGTCAGCATAGCAGTGAGCACTAGCAGTGGAGTAAGAGTAGAGGGACTCGCTTGGAACCCCCTTGATCCTAGTAGTGTTGCTTTAGCAACTTCCCCTGGCTCACTTGCAATCATCACTCTCAAAGATAATGGAGTAGATATCAGCTCAAAAGATATTAAAGCTCGGTAAGTGAATCTTCATTTATTTACCAAAGGAATAGGAACAGCCCCATGTTACACGGGTATTAAGAAGTGGAAATAGATGCTTGCTTTGAAACCCATCAAGATACTGTATTAGTATGTAGTGTATATCCTCTGATGGGGAAAGTGAGGTTTTATAATATCAAATGTAATTGATGAATGTTAGTACTGTACAGTATTTGTTTTGCCTTGCATGAATTACTGCCACTCTTAGATTTTGCAGAAAATTCATATGTTCTAGATCATTAAACCCAATTGGCCTACTTCCATTTTATACCTTCACTCTCATTTATTTTGTTCAATCCATATCACTTTTCTCAAATTTTCCACAACTTCTAGGCTTTATAAGCATATCTTGAGTGGTACTGTAAAACATTGTAAAAATTATAATTTATTACAATTCAACTGTTTATTTTCTCTTGACTCCAGACACCTTATATGATATTTGGAATAGGCTTAAAAGAGTATGAACAAGATTTGTTTGACAAATTTATTCACTAATTTTCAGAGCTGTGGGATGGTCTCCAAAGGGAAAGCAGTTAACAGTGGGCTTGGCAGATGGAACACTTGCATTGTTTAAACCAGATCTGACTCCAGTACGGGCTGTGCCTCGGCCACCCATGGATGGCATTGGCCCAGTGCTTAGTATAACTTGGTTTAGCAATACAGAATTTTTCATTAGCTACAAGGTTGAGCCCGAGGACATTGGTCATGGTATGTGTATTGATTATCTGGTAAAAGCTTTAGTGAATGCAATGCTGTAAAATATTTCAGAAATAATGATTTTGATACTAAAATAGCAATGTGTAAAATGGGCAATATGGAAATATGTTTTGTCTTTGTTGTAAGGTTCAGAATTCAGAAATGAACTGTATGGATGATTATGGAGAAGAATTTAAGCTGTGAAATGTGTCTTAAAAGAGTACTGTGCCATATAAAGAATTGGAGTGAAGGCTTTAGAAGCAGTAAGGGCTTCAAGAGAGAGAAAGAGAGAGATGGGTATTTATTATTATTTTGGAAGGACTGTTATTTCTTAGGTGGGCAGCTGAACTGTAACTTTTGATTTTCATGCCAGTCAGATCAGGTGTAAAAGTGGGTGAGTGTGTCACTAAACCAGTTATTTTGCAAGTTGATTCTGGTAACTGTTTTATTGAAACATTTTAGATTTGCATGCATTGGCAAATATAAATGTGATATTTTGCAACGTACTACATTAATTTATACAATACAGTATATTCACAATGCTAATAATAAACTTTGTAGATTTAATGTAAATGACCACTACCCTGGAACATCATCCCAAATGGAGTAAAGTGTATGGCTCTATAAAAGTTTAGTCATTATTATTATTATTTTTAGTCCAATTGAAAAAAGTTCTATATCCCTTGAGTCTAAAAAAGCACTGAACTCGATATGGCTGTGGACCACCCTGAGGCCCTCAGCAAGCCTAAAATGGCCTTGGGGCCACAGTTTCTCTTTACTCCTGGTGTTACACAGTTGTTTCAGCTTACAGGGACAGTAAAATAACAAGCATTCATTTTCTTTACATAATGATGTCTATACAGAGGACGTGTCACTGCAGTACACGTGAGGTTTTTTTTTTTTTTTATATAATTTAGACGTTTGCAGGTAAAATTAAGTATGAATGTCATTAATATAGTACTGTATTGACAAATTACTTAATTTTGTACTTTAGTTATTCTTGTTACACTTTATATCACCATTACCTTACATGTCTATAAAGATAGTGAAACTATATTTCAGTGATGATGTATGTGAATGCCCCTAAAGCCAAAGAACCAAGATTTGTTACTTATGACTTCTTGTGCAACTACAATCAAGGCCCTCGACCACCCATGTTTTATCCTGCCTTTTTTGCTGAATGGTAATTATTTTTTATATCACATTATTAGACATCAGTTGACTCAGTTTGCTATGAATAACAAGCCATATTCCTCATCTTCATAATTTTTTTTTTTGCTATAAGTGTTCACAGTTGTCAATATTGTATTGAGACGTCCATTACAATTGTCCAATAACATTATTTTTCTGATGTTTTTTTAAGTTTATTCTCTACAGTATCTTGGTTTTTCAGTTTGTTGATTTAAGTAAATACTAGTTTTCAGTTTAATTGTTTCATTGTGTCTGATTTTTAAAACTACAGAACAGTGTGCATTTTACATTAGCAGATTTATAACTCAGTCTTATGATATTTTGTGACACTTATATGGTTTAATCTGTTTGCAATATTGACTTTTAATTTATACACTTTTTAATATATTTACTTACAATGAATGCAAGAGAATTTTAATACTGTTGATTTTACAGGAGCCTCTTGTGTGTATTATCATCACGAGCCATTCAGCTAGGAGTCTTGGGGCACTCTGGAAAAGAAAGTAATGTCACTTGGTGTGAATATGAAATAGAAGAAGGTGCTGTAGCAGAGGTGCATAATGTCTCTGTAACTGAGGAAACATTTCCTTTGGGGATAGCTGTGGATTTTACATCACAAAAGGTTTTTATGAGTAAAGGTAAGCCTGTTGAGTGTAAGAGGAGATCTGAAGTATAATTAAATGTTAGTAATGACGTGTGAAATTTAGGTTTGATAATGATTAGTAAGATTTAATAAGTTCATTAGAATCTAGAGTATCATCAGGTAAGAAGAGGTAGGGCTATTCACATAGTATTTTATGTATAACTGCAGACAAAGCAACATGAGAATACTCCCATTTCTGGTGGCCTACCTAAGTAACAGCTATAGGCTCACTCAGCTATACAGTTGTATAAATTTATATGTGTGTGTGTGGGTGCCAGTCGAGACCAACCCCAGGACCACAAATGAGACTTTTTCACAATTCAGCCTCTATGGATCACCTGAAGACTAGCCCCCACCCACCCACCCACCCCCTCCCTGGATTATTTGGTGTGGTAAAAGTTCAGGCTGGGCAAGCTGAAGGGCAGAACTTCAGGTGAGCACTTGGGGGGCTAATCTTCATGTGATCCATAAAAGTTAAAATTGCAGATACAGTATTGTACAGTAGTCTTGTTCGTGGTCTCGGTGCCAGCCATGACTACACATGGTCATGCTTGATTGTTATAAAACCTTATTATAGAATAATTCTATCTGTTCTTGTTCTTTAACCCACATTATTTTTGTCATTCAAACTTGTTTCACACTTCTGCAAAAATGACAGCTCAGGTATGCCTCTGGACATTCCTGTCTTTGCTTAGTTTGATGGTTCTCTCTTTACATACATTTATCAATGCTTTTATTAATTTCTTACTGTCACCTACTGTAGACTTTTTTTAATGATATGTTATTCCTAAGGATTCATGGAAATGTGAAATTGTGAAACATCTGTATAAAAGTAATATCGGTATAACTTAGTTCAAAGAATCATGTTAAAGTCATCGAGTAAACACTTCCTATCATGGTCAGTGACACTATAATATGGTTTGGTTGTGAGGCATCTAAATCTAAACTAGATGTATTGATGAGTGTTAAGTTTTCTAGATGATATTTGGAAGTAATGTTTCACACTGAACATATTTATGTAAGCCTCTTTCCAATTGATCTACCTTATGTAAATGAGAATTTAATTCAGGATAAAGGTTTAATAAAATGCCATTATTTCAAATTCCAGATCAGATCTGCTCTGGCCCTTGCCCAGTAATTTACACTTTATCAACTGGGGGAGAACTCAATATGTTCCACGTAGTTAATTGTAAACCTGGTATTGATCCTCTGGTCTGCCAACTGGAGGACTTACCCAAAAGTGGACACCGCAGTCCACAACAGTATGGAGCTGCTAGTTATATTGTTCCAGCATTGGGAGTTCCTGCTGCCATCCCCACATTTTCTGCCAGTGTACCCGCTGATGCCACACCTTTAACCTTAAATGTACCAGTACCTGTAGCAGCAGCAACATCTTCTGCATTTGCTGGGAAAGCCTTTCCTGTTATGCCATCTTTATTTAACAGGTTGGTAAATTGCCAGTGTGAATAAGAAATGTGTCTGGTTGTTCAGTTATAAATGTGTATTGCAAGAATTATTTTTGTTCTACAAAAAGCATGTGGCAGTTTATGATTCCTTTCTTTTTCATCATCATGTCATCATTTCTTATTTTTGCACTTAAAATCAAATTTCCTAACATGCCTTAGGAAAAGAATTGCTGTTTATTAATTTGAGGATCAAAGGCTCAAAGTTCTGGATCACTAAAGCTACAAATAGAAATCTTCTGTATATGATAACTTTCCTTATCTTGGGCCTGACATTATGAAACTTAAGATATGTATTTTCTCAGTAAATGGGAAGGCCTCCCGTGGTTTTGGGTAAAAGGTCTGCAGTTATCTTGTTTATAAATAGAATTACAATAATTACACAATTCTCAAATTTAACAGTTATAATACTATAAAAAAGGGAAAGCACTTTATTGATTTAGGGAGAAAAAGTCTGATGTCAAGGTTATTCCAACTATGAATAGCATGGTTTTCACACACCATACTGTAGTACTAGTGCTCAGGGGGTCAGTTTCTGGAGAAGTTGGTGCTCATCCTTTAAAAAGTAAGCGGTTGTATCTGATACCAGAAGCTCTACAGACATAGGTATACTTTAATTACCTCAGGGAGAAATGACCCTGCCTTGCCAGTTAAGAGGACCTTTGAAGTCCTAAATATAATGACCAATTCCAACTCTGTGTTGGTTCAACAAGTCAATCCATGAATTAATGGGTAATTAGAGCCTTTAAAGCTCATTAATTTAAATGGATGCTCTTGCAATTGGGTATGGATAAGATGTGCCATCCATCCAAAATTTGTTGGCATTCTTTTAACATCAAGCATGCCATTGATTACATCGCAGTGGTCAGGAGTGAAATTGCACAGTCTTCAGTGAATAGATAACATATTGTTTCAATACAATGCAAACAGTAAAACCGCGGATTCAAAATGATGACCACTTACACCGGAGATGGTTCATCTTCTTCAACTTTGATGTCTTTCACCTCAAAATTTTATTAGACTTTTAAGGTTTGCATTTTATACTCGGCAGACAAGTCAAGTCAAGTCCTAGTTTATGAGTGTGTGTGTATTTATAGCTTCAAATATCTATTTATACACCAGTAAATATGGTAACTTTGGAGAAAAGACTTTTCTCGTTGAAAAGTTGATATTTACTAAAATTTCTTTCATTTGAAAATCTCATTAATTTACCGAACAGTCTTCATTAGTTTTCTTGTGTCCAGCACCCTTAGGGCCTAGCTTTTGCCAGTTTTTGGAAATTTTGGGTGTTCAGAAGCCTAAGCTACCATTACCACTTAATTACAGTAATAATTCCACATTTCTGTGCAATTAAAAGTGAAATATGGTTACATTTTAATGCACCACTGTAATGGGGGCTGGTCGCTGGTCTTTTGGAAAATATTGAGGGTGTATAAATGCAAAATGGAAACAGTCACACACACAAAACCAAGACTGCCCAAAAGTAAGTTGGTGTAAACAAAGAGTGATATTGTTGGGGAGCAGAAGGCCAGGTTTTTGGGTAGAATGCCTGGATTTTACGAAATTTTACAAGATATATTGTCTTTAACTATATTTAGTCTTCAGGTAGAACTTGTTCTTGGAAGGGTGGATTTAGGAGGTTTAAATTTACAGTAATTTTTTTATTGTGTTTATTTGCAATTAACTTTTCAAATGCACACTTTCATTTACCTCTCTATTTTTATCTGCATTCTTCTTCCATTTCTATCTGCAGTTTGACTTTTTTCTTTCACTTCCTACACTTAAAGATATCCTCATACCGTACATTAGTTGCTTTTAGCATTATATTCTTAAGATAGCTCCATAGTACTTCACAACACTCAATTGCCTTACAGATGCTTTTGAAATTCCCATCTTAAAACTTTGGTTCCTTGACTTCTTAGATTTCTTGTTAAGATTCTGAAAGTTTTTAATTCCTTCAAGCCTTTTCTTGCTCGAGTGTAGGGTAGGTGGAATTACAGGCAAATACAAACTTTCCCTTCACTCATTGTCATTCTTCCATTTCTACTACTTTTAACATATGTGTTATCCTAGTATTTTTAATATGTGAAAAATATTAATCTAAATATTATATATATTTTGCAGCTCCACATCAGGACAGCAAGTTGGATCACTGTTGGGACCAAAAATAGCCCCCTTTTCTCAGTCAACAGCTAATACTGCAAAGTCAAGCTTTTCATTTACAAAGCCCACTTCCAGTCCTTTTGCTCCTAGTATTCCTGTCACAGGCAGTTCAGTGTTTGGAACAGCAAAAGAATTACCTGCATCACTTTTCAAGATAGCCCTTGTTTCCCAGCCATCCATTTCATCATCATCTGTCTTGACACCCAGCACTGTAGTGCCATCTGCAACACCATATAGTCTTGAAGTAAAGAGTGAAGCTAGTAAAGCATCCTCTGGTGGAAACAGCACTCCACAAATACCAGCAAACACTTTAGGGCAGGGATTAAAGTTTACCTCTGTTCAGTTGCCACAAGCCAATATTGCTACTGGGAGTATTAGTCGGGGAAAACCAGCCCTCAACCCAGTGAGCTCAACTCCTGTAAAACTTAATTCACCTACTCCTGACACAACAAAGCAAGTCGATAGCCAGCCTAGCAGCAAATCTCAAAGTCCAGCACCTGCCACTCAATCAACACCACTAGGAAGAGATATAGATGAAGGTCTTACATCAACTATTGAAATCGCACAATCCCAGTTTGATGAGGAACTACAGAGTCATGTAAACATCAATCAATCTAACAAGGAGGTAGGTGTTTAATTATGGATAGTAGGTATACATTATTATAGTATACTATATTTGTGTCATAATTGATATTTTGTGACACATTGCTTGATGAAGACAAAATGTGAAATTGAAAGAAGTGTCACACATGGAGCTGACCAGGGGTTACTCAGATGGCATCATTACATTGAAGGGAATGGGCATTTGAAGATTGGTAAAAAAAAAAGTGAACACTTCAGAAGTATATGGGAGGAGGAGGAGTTGGAGGGTGGAAAGATAGATGTAGATGGATTAGGAGAAAGAAGGCCTTGATATGAGGGAAATGGACATTCAGGAAGCGGCAGTGTAAGTAAATGAAAGGAGAGCATGGTGTTTAGTTGTTTATGGGGATGTTACCACAGTTGGAGTGAACTGATACAAATTGAGTGAAAGGAGAGTCTTTGTATGCTCTTGACTTTGGCCACCCTTTAACTAAACTGGAAGAGTTTAGATGAAAAAGTATTGATGACTCATATGTGATCTTTCCACGCCAGTGTTAGAATAAATATTTGCTTAAATATTTTCATTTTTCAGCCAATTTTGTTGAGAAATTATGTCACTTCATCCTTAAACATTTCTCTTTTATTCCTATACCTGTTGTTCTTATATATTTTTTAAAGTCTTATACTTAAGATATTGCCTATTGTGTTTTCCCCATAGATTCAGTGATTTCCATGATATTTGGTTGTTCAGTATCCTTTTTTTCTGCTGTACTATACCACTATCTGTAATACAAGCACAGTATGTGTGATATTATTGTTAGTAATAGGATAAAGGGTACCAGTCATACTATTACTTGTACAGTACTGTAGTTCATTGTTTGCTTATACAGTACATAAGTTAGCTGATCTAATGCATCATTTCTAAATGATGGATTGATCCGAGAAAACCCATTTTATGATGTGCTTGGTTTGGAGGACTCAGACCCCTTCCTTCTCCCTTGGAATATTTATGAGATGTCCAAGTGAAGGGTTCCTACCTCGTTTTGCCAGACTTTTATCACTTTCCTAAGGTGGTAGTTGCATAAGGTGAGTTAACTTGAATGATAGTATAAAACTTGTATCTGCTTTTATACAATACTTGTGAAAGGTATGGGAGATATTCTGCTGCCTTTGCCTCCATCCATGCATCTCCTACCATCCGCCTCTAAATTATATTAACTATTTTTATTGGTCTTTCACAGCTTATTCTTTCAAGATGTCTTCACTACCTAAGTAGCTTGTATTATTTGTTTTTAGTGTATGAGGTGCCATACTTGTTTTGGAGGTTAAAGCATCAATCAGCAATCGCCAAAAGTAGTACTTTACCTAACAAAGAAAATAATGAAAACTCGGGTTTTATTGTAAAAAAATGTCCAAACAGGTTGGCAAACACCATGAAATGGGAAGTATTCGACAGTCTCTAGCTCAAGAGGCAGAATGGATCGCCCAGATGTCCACTACTACATCGGAGTTGACAAGAGAGGTGACAGATTTGCATTCTGAGATTGTGGATGCCTATACATTGTTAGAGGAAGCTGAAGCACAACTCAACAAAAGCAAAAATCCTCGGTAGGTGAAAGAGTAATTTACTTTGTTTCTTCTGTTTGCGTGCAAAGTTGTCATCATAGATATGAATGAAGGTCAGGGTATTGAAGGAAAAATAAATTTGTGACTTCTTCAATAGTGGTTTATCTTTTATAGTCAAGCTCTGTATTTATGACTTACCTTCAAAGACATGTCTTTCCAGGCACAACTTGTCTCTTCAGTGTCGGCCACTGGACCCTCATAGTCGCAAGAAACTTGAAGAAATTCGCTCTTTATATCAGTATCTTCAAAGTCAGCTGGTGGAGGTGAACACTAGGCTTCACCTAGATTGGGTAGCCTTTACAAATAACATGAAAAACAAGAAGTAAGTAGAAGAAACTCCATATCTAGCCAAATATATGAATAATGTTACAGTTGATATATTTTTCTTTATGTAGATTTGAGCATGTGGGAATAATAATATATCCATTGTGAATCATATATGTGGTCCCTGTAAGCTGACTATGTTCTTAGGGCACATAATCTCAAAGTTTCTCAGAAATCCACAAGTTCTTTCTGTTTTGCTAAGTTAAACAAATTTTCAGTTCACTGAAACCTGTCAATTATAATTATCTTTGAGTTTGAAATAAAAAGAATAATGTGTGAATAACCAAGTTTTGCTGTATTCTGCCATGACATATTATACACTGTAAACACCCTTGTAATGCACAAAGACAGAATGGAGCCGTAAAAGCAACTTGTGGTTTCTGAGCATGCCACAACAGTAAGAGTGAAGGGAGAACTTGCATTTGATTTTGATTCAGGCCACTGTGTAGGATAGTAGGCTTGCAAAATTGTGTGCTTCATAACCAAAAAAAATCTCAGTAATAAGCTGGTTGGTTTGGTCATCCACGGAAACTGTATCACCTGAGATGTAAAAGCAATCACCTTTCTCTAACACATTTACTTAGGAACACTTGTGTACGGTGTACAATCTGCATTTTTCTTTTAATGGCATTTTACTTTCTCAATTTTATCTCTCCTTTTACAATTCTAGTCATTATATGAATACTGAGACATCCATGAACCCTTTTCACTCATTTTAGTTCCTTAGTAGATGCAGATGGTGACCTTCTCAGTTTCAGACTTTCCAGCTACACCATAAGATGGTTGAATTAAAAAACAACTTAGATTCCTGGATTTTCTGTCCTTCATTTACCTATAAAAATCTTGAGTAAAAGTTGCTCAAGTTACTACAGTCTAGGTTTTGACATCAGATGATTAATAGTTAAAATTATTGTGAAGACTGCCTGCGGTCATCTACTCCAGAGACTTCCTTGCGGGAACAGTGTGTCCCCAAAAAATATATCGATTAGTGCAAGCTGATGATTGTATCAATATAATTATATCATTGTTAAAGAAACAATAGATTACATTGGAGATTTTTGTCTGGGTTATTACAAGTACAAAACCTCTTAGTGAGCCAGATATTTAATTTAATATTATTATGGTAGCCCTTATCATACCCCAAAACCACCTTAAGGTAGTACAGAACCCTATATTCATTCACTCTCAAATGTAAGTATAAAACCTCTAATCCAACCTTAAAAATCCCTTTAACCAGTGTAAATAAGTCTCACTTTGTTTAGATCATTTTTGAGTTCCTTCAAAATTAGTGATGTTTTGTGTTGTAGATAGTTAGATAAGTGACACTTTGATTCACTGAAATTTTAATGGTGGAAATATTTTATAGCATGAGATAAATATTCATTGATCTTGCAATTTTTGTGAAGCCTTTATCTCACCAGCACTTACCACATTTCTCAAACAGAAAACAAGGGTTACCTGAAACAGAAACTCTCTACCAAGCTCTGAGTAAGTACCACAGCCTTCGAAGGATGCGTGAGAGAGAAATAAATACAATGTGTGACCGATTCAAAGCTCTTCAACTCAATTATCTGGCCTTTGAACTTTCATCATCCCATTCTCAATATGATGAGTGAGTATCCTTCCTACATACTGTACTATTGTACAGTACATTATGAAATTTAAGCTTTTACATGAGTGAGACCTTGAAATCCTCTGTGCATTTTCTTCAAATACCATGGTTTGTTTTTTATAATGACATCTTGATTTTATTTTTTTTTTATTTATTTATTTATTTATACAGGTATCTCGTAAAACTCAGGATCTTTTTATAGCAAAAGTTGGCAAATATAGGCCATTAAGGAAAGTTCGTATATGTAGATGTCAGAGATGTTTCTGCACCATGAATTCTTGCTTTTAATATAGTCTACAGTGAAACCTCCATATAACAGACTTCTCTCTCCATATAATCTTTTATCTGGTGGTTTCACATCTAATGTACCCTCGATATAACGGACTTTCATTTCTAAATTGTTTGTAAGATGGAGGTTTCATATTTAAAGGACTCGATATAACATACTTTCTTCTCCATTAAACTCATTAAATAGAGGTTTCACTGTAGTTATTTACAGGTACAGTAATCATCCGAGTTATGGAAGGGATGCGTCATTGAAAGGTTGACCGTAACATGAACCCTATTTTCCCACTGACTATCAGTATATATCTGGAGATGCTTTCCCAAAGAAAAAAAATACACATTTGTGAATGAAAATAAACAGTTTTGAACACCTACATTGATTATTTTATGATATAATGTGATAATAAATACACACAACACTTGAATTTAACTCGCCACAAACAATGTTGAGTGCTGCATTAGGTGAGGCGGTGTAATGGGAATTATTGGGAGACGTAGCAAACCCTAATGTTTTTGTAATCTGGCTAAGTTTTTCTCCTGCAGCAAACTCCATAAAATCTCTAGTTCTATATCTAACATACTAATTACTTTACGGGCACTTTTAGTACCACTGCTTTCACTTGCACTTGATGACCTCTTTCCAGTTGATCTTGAATAAGGGTAATACACTGGACAGTCTTGAATAAGATACGTACGTAAATGTTAAATTCAAGAGCTGGGGTTGAGAGATAAAGTGTACACACTGGGAAATATAAACAAACAGAGTCCAGCGGCATGGGTACACTGTGTACTCATGCTTGATGGTAGCAAACAACAAGAAATCTACATCAAATAAATTATGTCTGTGAAAATTTTATTGCTATATGCATGGTATGTAGTGGTAGATGATTTTATGATAAGTGTTCAATACAGTATATCAAACCTGTCCTATGTAGGTACATTGTACAGTATTAATACTTTCTAGTACTGTAATTATAATAGAAACACATATCATTAATTATTATACTAAACCTACTCTACAATTCTAACTTCTAGATAGGCTGCAAGCAGGCAGCGTTGCTGCCATTTAACGATTAAAAAAAATCATTAAGTGTACATACAGTATAGTACATGTTTGGCACACAAAATATAGTACATAATTGTTTTCTTTCTTATTGCCTTTAATAATTACTTTGATATACTGTATATAGATTTTAATTCCATTTTCAAATGGGGTCAGAAATTGCTGTTCACCCAATATCTTTAAGATACAGTTTAACATCGTACGGGCATACTGTACGTCTCACTTGATATGAATGCGTCACAACATCCGTAATGACCCAGGTTTTGACAGCCAGTAAAGCAATCAAACAACAACAATGCATTATCAGTAGAGTACTCACCACAGCGATGACCGTTGATAGTTGCAAGTTATTTACGAACAGTGTCTCTGATTAATAAGCTGATTGTACATCCAAAAAACTCTCTCTCTTTCTCCATTTGTCCCAAATAAATTTTTGGGAAGGACTTGCTGCTGGTGGGTGATGTGAGGTGGATATCTTGCGTCTTATTAAGGAAAGCGAGTACAGTATCTTAGCAGAACACATCTATTACTTAATTAAGAATGATTGAATGGCATTGAATAAAGGAAGATTGTACAGTATGTGTTTGTTTATTTGCTCATAATTTTGGTCAATCTAGTGTTGAGTAAGGAAAGGTTTGAAAGAGGACAAATATTGTCATAATTATTGCTATTAACATCATTATAATTATGGTACAGGTGCTCCTCTACTTACGAACGAGTTAATTTCCTGAGGCTTGTTTGTAAGTCCAACTTTACTCATGTAGATACCAAACATATTGTAAAAAATTAAAAGATTATGGATATTTAGTACAGCTATACCCTTTAACACAGCCTTTAAACCTAACTCACTCTTCTCCTCTTAGGTAATGTTTGTTCTATCTAAAATTTTCTTCCAAATATCCAGTCTTATCCACATTAAACGCCTTTTCTGGCAGGTAACCCTCCTCAGTGATGATGATTGTATCTCTGAAAGTTTGTACGTTGAACGTTCTTAAGTAGTGGAGCACTGTATACTGTACTGTAATTTTACTTTATTATTGTAAGCATTACTGTTATTGATTTTTTTTTTCTTTTTCTTCTTCCTGCCAGTGATGAAACTTTAGCTAACCTTGAGCGAACCCTGAGAGAGACGACACTTTCCCCAAACACAAACGTTTCACCATTCAAAATGCTTCCTCCCAAGGAGCAGAACAAATTACAGATGGCACTGTCACAGAGACGCACAATTCCTTTAAGGTAAGTAATATAGTATGATTAATTATGTACGGTATTGTACCAGTATTTATTAGGCAAACTTTATTACTCCATTATATGGTTTAAGATATAGGTACAGTAATACAGCACACTCCTTAGTGTGGAGATATGCTCATATTTTCTAAATAATAAGAGGAGATAGGTCTTTGTATTTGTTGTAATACAATACAGTATACAGATAGTAGTTCAACAGAATACCAGCTAAAGTAGTACATGTAGCAGGGAGTTTTAGTTGGTAATTTCTCATACATTTTAATCGCCATTTGACATGTATGACCCCAGTATATTTAAAGTTTGTTTATTTTTACAGGAAATGTACAAACTTCCCCAAGATGGATCTCAACTCTCTTGAAAGCCTTTCCTCATCTTGTAGTCATGAAGGATCTCCAGATATATCATCTGTGTTACACAATACGCAACCTTCTTTTTCAAGCAATCTAGAGTCTTCCATGTCGGCATCCTTTGGACCCCAGACATTTTCTACTCCAAATCGAGTTATTAAAATGTCTCCAGTGAAAACTGTGGTTGCCAGAGCTAAACAGAAAAATCAGGAGTGTACTGCTGATACATCAAGTCAGTTTGTACCTGTAGCACAACTGAGTGATAGTGTACCCTCCACCTCCATTGCAGCACCAAAAGTTGCTTCATTCTCTGCAATACCTGGAAATGGAACACCTGGTTTTTCCTTTACCGGTGTAAGTGCTGGTTCAAAAACAAATGGAACCGAATCTATTGGTGTCACCGGTATAAATAAGCCTCAGTATGAAGATATAACTCCACCTCAGACCCCAGACAATAAAGTGGAAGTTGGAATGAAAACTGCAAGCCCATTACTAGCATTGTCTTCATTGGTGTCAAAGGTACCCACCACTACAGTTGGAGACACAAATCCTCCAAGTGTATCTCTTTCTGATAGCAAGCCCATTTTTAAGAATACATTTGGTGCAAATTCTACATCAGATTTTACAAAAGTTCAGACAGCAGATGCAGTGGTCCCTTCTTTGCCAGCGTTCTCTCATAAACCTCTGTCATCAGCTTCACTGAAAACATCTTTACCATCTTCTATCTCAATTTCTTTCACACCTTTTTCCCCACCAACCACTAACTTTTCTTCTACTCCAGTGGGAAGCTCTTCTGATAAGACACCAAGTGTGTGTACATCCACCAGTTCACTATTTAAACTACCTTCTACTGTAATTGAATCTACTAGTGCAACTGAGGCTTCACAGACATTTGTAACGCCAAGCAGCACGTTTTCCTTCAAACCTTCATCCTCAGTCACTCCAACTGGTAATATGTCATTTTCTTTTAAGTCACCCACACCTCCCAGCAGTCAGCTTACCTCAGCAACAACTACAAGCTCTGAAGGATCGCTAACTGGAACTTCATCATTTTCAGCAATGCTGTCTAAGCCTGGTAATATCTTTGGTGGTGTGATTGCTGGAACAGCTGAGGTTGGTTCTGTTTCTTCCCCAGTTGTCACAACTATATCGTTTACAAGTCCAGGCTTACAAACTACAACCACCTCAACTAGTTTGTTTTCTACAAATATTGAAACGGCACCAATTGTTGAATCTGACACGGCTTCTTCAACATCAGTTGACTCAGATACAGCCTCAAATGCAACAATTGTAGCTGATAATGCTGGCTCTTCAGGTGGATGTGATGCTGTTGGACAGGAAGAATCAGCTGCAAATATACTTGAAGGACAAACATCACCTGCTACTGCAGCATTACCAGTTCCTTCGATATCGGGAACAATTACATCCACCCCTAGCATTTTGTACTCCAAAGAACAAGTTGTTAATGTAACCAGTAATGATCCAGTTGAGTTACCATCATCTAGTGATGTAAGTGGAAAGACTCAGGAGACAGAATCCTCTAGTTTGTTTGCTAGCAGCACATCCACAGCACCTCCAAAGCTTTTTTCAAACCCTGCATCTGTTAATAGTTTGTTTGGAAGTTCAACAGCTGTCTCAGCGAGTTTGTTTGGAGGTACTCCTAGTTTATTTGGAGTTACATCTACAGGATCTGGGGGTATCTTTGGAACAACAACAACTTCTGCATCTGGTAGTATTTTGGGAGGTGTAACTACATCTTCAAAAAGTATCTTTGGAGGTACAACTGCATCCTCAACTGAAAGCATTTTAGGAGGCACACCTTCAACTTCTACAATTAGTATAGGAACTCCCAGTAGTAGTACAACAACAACAGCTACATCAGATAGTGGCATATTTTCAAGTTCAACCACACCTGCAAGTGGAAGCATGTTTGGTATGTCATCAGTGTTGTTAGGGGGTAGTTCAGGCACCAGTTCCATTCCATCTTCTGGTACTATGTTTGCCAGTGCAGCATCAGTACCATCATCCACAGGCAGCCTCTTTGGTACAGCTGCTGCTGCTGCCTCTGGCACCAGTACTACTACTTTTGGACAAACTTCAGCTTTTGGAGCCCCAACAACATCGAATTCAGGGTCAGCCTTTAGTTCTCTGAGTTCTGCTGGCAGTGGTTTTAGCTTGAACACAACTACTACAACACCAGCTGTTGGTTCTGCTTTTGGACAGACATCTACTCAGGGTTCTACCTCTGTATTTGGTCAGACCTCTCCAAGCTCGACTGGATCAATATTTGGGGCCCCATCCACAACAGGATCAGTATTTGGTGGTACAGATCAAAGTGGTGCTCTATTTGGTAGTCCTCCACCAAAAAGCACAGGAATATTTACTGGAACTTCTGCTCAGTCATCAGGATCAACTTTATTTGCGCAGCCCATCACAAGTTCAGGATTCGGCAGTAAAAGTGAAGGATCGGTATTTGGCCAGAACTCGGCAGCAGCTGCTTCACCATTTTCCACAGCCAGGTAATATAGCCTTAAGAGAGTGTATATTAGTGTTATTAAAAGAATAAGATTAAAGACATAATATTTTCAAGACATTATTATTTAACAACAACTAAATAGATATGAAATTTATTTGTTATTATCATTGCATCTTTTTTTTTTTTTTTTTTTACTGCATGTATACAAAACCCCATAGCATAGACAAAGTTCTGAAAAGCTCATTTTGTTTTATATAACTACAATTTCACTCACGCTTGTTAATTCTTAAAACAAAGTACTGTACAACAAATGAAACATTGATAGATAAGTGTTGCCATTAGATTTTTTTTGCTTTAGTTTTCTATGTGATTATAACAAGACTTTATAATTGTTTCCATCATATTTTAACCACTAACCTACAATAAATGTATTCATGTGCAGATTGTTAAGTTTAATGTTTTTATTTTCACAAAAATAAGACATACGTATATTTTATTATTATTTTTATTTTTTTGCTTAATATTTTTGCCTAATTTACATCATTTACTTTGAGGGCTGACTGTGGAAGGCATAAGATGATACAAATGAGGGGAGGGGGATAAGCACAAATTTATACTGCACATGAGAGGTAAATGTATGCAAGGAAAGGAAATTACTGTGTATAGCTTTGAGAAATAATACTCTATTGCAGTATACTCCTGTAATTACAAAGAGACATGAATACATTTAATGGTCATTAGACATTGGAAAATCCTGATGAAATGGTGGAAGGTTAGAGTGAAAAGTAGTTTTGTGGAAAAGTTGTTTAGAAATAGGAATATAAGGATATATAATATTTGGAGGAATCTTTGGATAAGCTAATAATCTTGGTAGTGGGAGAAACATCTAATATAAATGGACAAAAAGTTCTGTATCGTACAAGATATGAAATTGCATACAAATGTTGCTCTTCATTATTACAGACGTCAGACTCATTATAGAATTGTATAGGCTTGTGTATTTTGTTGTACAGGACTTTGAAAATCATTAAACTTAATTTTTATTGCAGCACAACAAAACCAGATTCTACACTGTTTGGATGCTCTCCTGGTTTTGGAACAGGTGAGTGTCTTGAGAACTTCTTCCATTGTTCCACTCTTAGGACTTATCAGTTGTATTTCAATTCAGACTGCATTTAAGTCCCACTACAGTATATTACTTTCATATGTCCATTTGTAAAGCTTCCTAAGTATCTTTGGTAATATAAAGTTCAGGCCAAGACCTTTTATAAAGGCAACACATGGCCATTATCCACTTTCCACCATGGGTCCTTCACTCATGGCACTAATTAATACCTTTGTTTTTGCCACATTCACTCTCAAACCATTTGACTCTATTCCATCCTACCATTCCTTAAATTTCTTCTCTGCCTCCTCAATACTGCAGTATATGCTATTACCACTAAGTTGTCAACATACAACTTCCAGGGCAGACCAGTCCTAAAGTCCTGTAATAGTGCCTCTACCTAGCACCATGATAAAACAAAAGGGGGCTCAAGACGGATCCTTTTGAACCCGTACTTTCACTTTAGAATCCTCACGACCTATCTCATGTGGTACCCTGTCAATTGCCTTCTCTAACTCTGTAGATACAAAGTACTGTACAGCTTTCTCTCCTTCATTAGATATATCTTATGTAGTTGACTGGTGTTGAATACAGGTATCCCTCATTTAGCGTTAATTCGCTATAGCAATATAATTTTTTTTTACACCCTTTTTCACTTAATGCTTGGTCAAAATTTGGTTTAGCAATAGCTTGACTCATTAGGGGGTGGGAAAAACCAGGGATGAGGTGGCCTGTGAGATGGCTGCATTTTGCCATTTGTAATGAAACTTATGAAAGTTGTGGAAACATCATTACTGTACAATGCTCTAATGTGGCTTAGGAATAAAAAATAATAATAATATAAAACTGTAAAACAAGAAAAATGAAGAGGATGGGTGTCTATGTGTGGGAAGTGAATACCGGGTATATGTGTTGAGGCAGTGGGCAGTAACTGTATTATCAGCCCAGTCACACTCCCTCCTCCGATGTGTTCAATGTAGATATCTTTAAATCCATTCTTCTGTTCTGTGTCCTTAATCTTGTTGGTTATCTTTCCCATTGTATCTGTTTATTCCGAGGCTCAATTATAGGTCTTTGAGCAAAAGTTCTCTATCACTGGCTAGTTAGGCTTGTCTTGATTGTACCTTCCTCATTTATCTGGTCTTGAGATTGGCATGAGATCAAGGGATCACATATGGCAGAGTTCTTTCATAACAATGCCATAAGATATTTGTTTTAGCATTGTTGCTTTGCACAGCCCAGAGCTACACATTCGTAATATGTCTGTTCACAAAACCACTCAACAATAATTTTGTACAATTACCGGTAGATGTAACGAATTCTTTTAGAGTTCTGCTTATATTAGGTTGTTTTGTGTGTGTGTTTTTAGATTTATAAGGAACTTAATTGATGGAGATGGCCCTATTATTATTTTTTAAGATATCATATGATTTAAAAAGATATCGGCAATAAAGGTTTTCAGTGTATTTTCCTGTACAATATATGTTGCCTGAGAAAGGAAAATCAATTGGAGAATGAACCCTTTACTCTTGATTTACTGTATTGTTGTGTAGTCATAAGACCTCGTGCCTTCCTCATTTATTGAACAATCCATTTCACAAATCCACAGTTTTTTGTAGCCAATCATTTCATCTGTGCTGGAATTCCAGATTTTGTTTTCTAGAAAATCCATCAGTAATATAATTTGTATTTTATCAGGTACAAACAGTGGAGGAGGTTTCTTCAGTGGACTTGGCAGCAAACCTAGTGAAGATAGTGCCAGCAAAAATGTCTTTGGTTCCACCTCATTTCCAACCAGTAAACCTCAAACTACTAACAGTAAGTAACTTTGTAAGATTTTGTATAAAACTTTGTTTTGCAACTTATCTAATGTGCTTGGTAAGCCAGGAGACCTGACAATAGATACTGGAATTAAAATTTTGAGGAGTATCCCTCCACTTAATGCTTTTGCTACACTGCTTCAATCAAATTTCCTGCTCTAATATTTTTCACATGTCTGCACTTCTCAGTTTTTATTACTTGTTGTTCTTTGAAAAGTTACTCATCTGTTAATCATCTGCAATTTTCATACACAGGTTTGTTTGGAGGTACAAGTACAACCAATAGTCCTTTTGGAAATACTGGTGTATTTGGAGGTAGTACTGGCAGTGGAAATAGTAGCAGTTTCACTACTGGAGCAGGGCAAGTTAACCAGAGTGGATTTGGTGTTACATCACCTCAGACTCCAACAGGTAATTTTTAGAAGCAGTACAGTAATCCATGAGAGACAAATCTAAAGTCCCTTTCCTTCCTCCTTCCCACTATAGGGGCTACACAACAAGTTTTACTCCCCTTTATTTTGTTCATGTCTTGACAGTTGCTTTTCCTTTATCTTACCATATTCACCATTCATTATATCACTGCTCCTTTTTCTTTTTGTCATAGGTGCTCTTTCTTTTTCTTGCTAGTCACAATTCATCATGCAAATAATTTTTTTGTAATGATCAGTGATAGGTAGAGATTGATAAATGGAATTGATTTTAAATTTCCTTTTCTGTAGGCTTTGGTGGTGGCTCAGCCTTTGGCAGTTCCCAAGCCTTTGGTGCTTCTCCAGCATTTGGTACACCTCCAAAATTTGGTAACTCTCCAACTTTTGGTGGCATACCAACATTTTCAACTCCAATGGGAGGATCCCCAGGTAATTATAATGAATCAAGTACAGGGTACATGGATTGAATGCAAGGGATAACATATGTTTAAGTACCATTTCAGGGCTTCAGAGATGACACAGTAATGTTTTAGAGCCTAAATGTATAACAATGTTAACTCTGAGTCTATAGGATAAAAAGTAACATGTCAACTGTGAATCTTAGAGGCAAGCTTTCAACAATGTACAGAACCTTACCTTGGTTGGCATGAATGTATACTGTATACAGTATCTCCCCAACCCAGGTTCATTTTTGTACTTAGGGTCATACAAATGTTTGGTCCTACAAATACATTATTAACAGCTGCTGTTTCTGCATTGGCTCAAAAACAGTAATGTACCCACCTTGAACCACTGATATTACCCCAGAAGTAGGTTATGTAATGTGACAAATTCGGTAATGGAATGGGAATTTATTTAATTTTTTATTTATTATTTCTTATTGGCCTGGAGGTACTGGTTAATTGAGAAGCTAGTTTTTCAGATACCTTATAGCTTGCTGCTATACAGTATATATATTTTTTTATGTCATTTGTTAGAATTTATACTGTTGTTTTGTATTGACAGTAAATAAATTGTTTTTGTAAATTATACTCCATAACTGAAATTTGTGCTTCTCAGTTTTTCACAAGTCCTTAACAGATTTGCACATCCTAACCAATGATTCATCTGTTTACTAAGGTCTTCCATCATGGTAGTAGATAATGCAGCTTGTGTCATGGACTTCTTACCAAATGGAAAAGTTAGTGGCATGGTTGGTCATTTCATTAAATTTCTGTCACCAAGGGAATGGTGTGTAATGCTTATACCTAAGGTTTCTTTAACCTCAAATTGCTGTTAAAACCTTTCCTGCAATTTGATTTGACCATGTAATGACCATGACATTCTATCTTATCCTTGGTGTTTGTTATTGCAATTTCATTGACATCTTTTTTACAAAACAGTACTGTACTGTTGCTATGAATGATCATGAACACCACTAGCTACTATCTGTAGCTGCCATACTATAATTTTTCTCTTTCCACACATACACTTGCAGATTCTAAAAACAGCTTTATGTCAACTTTGAACCACTGCTATGAATAAGGACCCCATATTGGTCGTTAATATAAAAAAAGGGAATATTAGATGAAGTTCTCTTTTAACCCTTAAGCCCCGGGTTAGGGTGCTGCTGGCAGTAACCCCCCCCCCTTGCGTGTGGGAATATCGAGAAAAATCAACTTCCAAAAATAATTAAAAAAAAACAGTGGTGGGAATAGGCGGACATTCTGGAACATCACCTGGGACTGGTTGGACGTTCTGGAACGTCACCCGGTGCTGGTCGGACGTTCTGGAATGTCACCCGGGGCCTAAGGGTTAATTGCAGTACTATGCACTCGTCCAATATAAGTTGCAATGAAACTTAAAAGTATTTTTCTAATTTGTTCATGTTTAGGTGGAGGTTTTAGCAATTTTGCATCATCAGGTGGATCGACATTCGGATCAGTAGCAAGTTCATCACCAGGAACTGGCTCAGGATTTGGAAGGTAAAGTAATAATCACATTACCACTTTCTCATTGTCGACATTTGGACAAACTTCACCCTCTCAGTGGTTGTTCCAAATTGCATTGGTTTGGTGGCTGATGATACTAGCTGTGTCATGAGGTTTGGCCTTTTGGTTTTATATTACTGAAGGATCAATAACAATGAATTACTTTTTAACATTTCATGGTTGTACATGATGGAAACCTGTTGGAGGGGTTGTGAGAATATCAGGCTCTTAGCGATGCAACCTGTGCCATCAGCCAGTTAGAGTTAATAGAAAAATAATTTAGATGTGTATATTTTTCTTTCCAAACTCACTGGCATTTTTTCCTGCAACAGTATAATGCCAACAGGGATATCACGTGTACAGTCCCCTTCACTGGTGTATTTATAGGTGCTCGTCATATAAACATTCCACATATCATCATTGAGATATTTGTTTTAATATTGTTATAATTGGATTCCACAGTATGTTTACTATATCGAGTTTCCTTCTGTTGAATGTAAACAAACACTGGGCTTCCACACTGCACAAAACCTGACAAGCCCCTGTAAATGCACTAGTGAAGTGGACTGTACTGTACATGCAGTATAGGTTGTGGACTCAGTGACAGTAAGTTTACAACTTTTTTGGTGCCTGGGTGCTTCCTCATTGCAAATTGGGGAATTCCTAGAATCGCCACTGCCGCCAGATACTGTGCTTTTTATACTTGTATATGTTGTAGGTACAGTCTCGTTCAAGATTTTTCGAACACTGCTGGAGACAGCTGGCAACTCAAGGCCGTTTGTCTACTATATATTACGTAGTATAATGTAATACGAAACACCAAAGCCCAACCAGTAAATTAAGCAACGGGGAACTAAGTAACCAATCACTGATCACTTTTACATTTATTCATAATTTTTACTACGTACTATAGGAAACGAACGGCCTTGAGTTGCCAGCTGTCTCCAGCAGTGTTCGAAGAATCTTGAACGAGACTGTACATAGTCATAATATCCAGTCATCTTATCAAAAGGAGATTTGTTTTTGCTGTTATTATGAGAGAGTACCTAATTAGAAAATCCAGCAAATTTAAGTCTGTATCACTTTGAATTTAATAAGGTTACACCTGTATGTATTTTTTAAATCTGATAATTTATGGTATGTATAGGTGAGAAAGATAGCACAGGAGAGGATAGTAAAGACAATATACAAAGGCAATGTAGCATTTCTAGCCGATGACTGCCTGCATTATGGCAGGAAAAAGTGGCACAATACAGTAAGGAGAGAACAGGGTTAAGAAAAAGGGGGAAAGAGAGAGCAAAGGAGTTTCGTTGTTATATGGTGATGTGGAGGCTCTTCACTTTTGCCCTAACCCAAGTGGGGGAATGAGACAGTGCAGATATGATTATTCATGTGTGAATTTTGTTGTTTTGTTTTTCAGTTTCTCTTCTCAGAACAATACAGCATCTTTTGGGGGGTTAGCTCAATCTGCAAACCAGCAGCAGCAGCAGCAGCAACAGCAGCAGCAGCAGCAGCAGCAACAACAGCAGCAGCAGCAAGGAAGTGCATTTGGACCAGGTGGAGGTGGTTTTGGAAGGTAAATAAAATAATTTTTTCATCATCACCATTTTATGACCATAGTCCACACTTGTGTGGATCTGCTGTTCACCAGGCAAATTTGAAACAAGTTTTATGGCTGGATGCCCTTCTTACCACCAACCCACGTTTATAGAGAGGAACTGAATATTATGTATAGGACTTCCAAACATCCTCTTAGCTGGCAAGGCAGAATCACTGCTCCCTGAGGTAATTACCTGCCAACCTACATATCCTTCATGTCTTAAATATCCAGTATGGTGTGCAGAATTTTTTGTTGTTCGACCTTTTCATCTACTGTACTTTAAACCTTTACAAAATACCTTAAAACATTGTCGAGTTTAACAATACTGTATAGTTTATTAAAAAGGAGTTATACTGTATTATAGTTGTCAAATTTAGGAAGCCCCACAGTTCTTAAACTACCACCACAGCTCAGAGGATCAGTGCCTGAACAAAGATAATTGCAGTAACTTACAATGGCAGTAAAAACTTTCTAACACTTGACATGAAGGATTTGGGGTTTTGATGAGATGTTCGATTTCTTTTCGTGGAATGGTGATAACAATTTCAGAATATACAATATATGTTTTTTTCTCTTTGCAGTGGAAGTAACTTCTCCTCCTGGCGGTAATAATTGCATAAGGAGGTGGAGACTCGTGGAGATAAATTTATTATAAAATTTTAATTGCATTATAAATTTAGTTTTCCAAACTGTTCTGTTATATATCTAATAATAGAGGTAGGAAAACAGATCTTAAATTCATAACTATATTCTGCTCCTCATATTTATAAGGTTTTAGGAATACCGTACTGTTGGATATTTTGCTGTATACAGTACTTTGAATTTGTTTCAAGTCCTGTACTTGAATTTGAAGTTCATAAATATTGAGAATGATTTTAATGACCCCATATATATATATGAGAAGGATATGAAATAAGATATTTTATCATTGGTTGTGTTTCTAATTTATAATTTACTTTCATAGCTGTTTTGTCTGTTAGTAGTTGTTGTTTTCAGGAGGCATATGTTATTGTCTCTTGAGTTTACTGGCTTTTGAGTTGATAGGAATGATTATTGTGTTCAGGGACATGGTAAACTGTTTGTAGCATTCTGGGACATTGAGAAGTTTGCATGAAGGATTTATCTTTGCCCTTCAGTTTTGTATCTCTTAAAGCCAGAGCATCCAGGTTCCTTCCCTTTATTACTACTTGATTCCAGCCACTCAACATTATGCAGGAGAAAACTTATATGTGTAAAAAATAAATAAATAAAAACATGACTAGACACTGTATAAATTTTTATGGTCACTGCCCAAAAGATGTAACTATTCACACAATAAGAATGAAACATCTTGGAAATATTTGTGAAATTACTTCAGAAACACTACACCCAATATAGATCATCATCATTAATATTTTACAGCTATTTTCCACGCTTGTGTGGATTAGCCAGGATTACTTGATGGTAGCTGTTGGTTAAAACTAGAACAGGAATTCCCCCTGCTCACCACTGCAAATCCAGGGTGCCAGGTTAGAAAATGCAGCAGAGACTAGGGGATGGGCACAACACTCTTGACTTGGTTGCCATCAGGCATGTTGTGGCAAAGTTTTACAATAAATAAATGAAAATATTCTGGCTATAATTATTTCTAGTCAACTGTGTTAAATGAAGAAATTTTTTAGTGAAGTCTGAATGATAATCTTTTTCAGTAATGATGGTAAACAATATACTTGTATAAGGTATCCCCACGTTACAGAAACTCTGGATGCAGAAATTTCCCTGTGTAGAATTTGTAAATTATTACCACTAACTTTGAAATATGGCCCATAAATTCGACCTTACAGAAATGCGGTAAATTTTCAGTGTTAATCACAATATAGAACCACAAAATTTAATAGAAGTTAAAATTTATTTGGTGTGGATTTCTTGTTGTTTGCTACCACCAAGCGTGTGTAAACAGTGTACCCACGCTGCTGGACTCAGTTTGTTTATATCTCCCAGTATATATGCTTGATCTCTCGACCCCAGCACCTGGATTTAACATTTACATACGTATCTGCTGTAAATCGAAAGTTGCGAATTCGTATTCAGGGACAAGTTGTTGGAGCTTCCAATAACTTGCTTAGACATAAACCATTGACTCTTCAGGCTTCTACGCCATTGACTCTTCAGGCTTCTACGCCCTTAACTCATGAGACATAAAGGCAAGCATGAACTTAGCATGCTTCCCTGTTGGGCACTGTAAACGCTTCTGCGCTTCACCTTACACAATTCTCTGCATATAGGTCTCTCGTACTCCCACCAATGAGTCACTTACCACCTTCTACCACAGAAGAAGAAGAAGAAGAAGACCCAAGCTGGAGAGAGACAGCTGGACTCCCACCTCACCCTCGTCGTTGCACCTGCCTGGGGTCAACTCTCCTTCCCTCACACACACCAACGTTCTTCCGGTAGTCTCGTAAGCTGAGGTGAGGTGGAGGGAGGGCGAGAGTGGAGGAGAGCAAACGGAAAGGGTTGATTTGGGCGAGGGTAGGGAGTGGAGAGGATGGGAGGGGAGGGGATGGGGTGGGGAGAATAAATAGGGGTGAGGAAGAGAGGGAAAGGGGGGATGGGGAAGATAAGGAAAAAAGGATGGAAGAATATGGAATAGAAGGAAAAGGGAGTAGGAATTGGTAAACCAGCATCACTACAGATCGGTAAAGTAGTTCCGAGATTCTCGTGCGGACACACACACACAGACATCTTTGTTTTATATAGATAGATGCAATTATACAGTAGCTAAAACAACTATCTGTGCATACTTTGTGGGAAACTATGAGACCATGGACGGTAAGTTTTGGTATATGATGGCTGTCACTAGTAGCACGTAAGATTTCGGAGCATAACGACCCCCACCTGCACAAATAGTTGTTTTAGCGACTGTACCTTATAATGTGTGTGTGTGTGTAAGATATTGATATTGAAACAGTTTATTTAGCCAGAAGAACACAGATACAGAGTCGATTAAAAAAATCACAATATTAACATGGCTGAGCCAGTTAAGAGCCTGACCTGCCCCTGATATATACTGTACATTTATCTCAAGGAAGTATTATGTAACATTTAGTATCATCTGGAATAGTTCATATAGCATGGTGGTAATAACATGTTACCACTGTTATCACTTCGATATTTATTTTATTTTTATTTTTTTACATTTATATTATAAGTACAGGGTATACAGTATACATAATTTACAGAGGAAATTTAAAAAAAAAAACTAAATGTGGAAAGGGAGGGAAGCAGTATAACATGGGTAAGGTGGAACAAGAGGACAGAGCTGTCAGGATTATGTCTAGTTTGCAAACATATTTTTTGCAATGGTAATTTCTTATCTATCTACATAATAAACGGTTTTGGCGGTACAATAAAAGAGGGTATATAAAGAAGGTATTAGAAGATACTGTATATTAATACCTAGACAAAAGATATTTTTTAAGAGATGGTGTGTGTTAGGATTTGGGTTTTACAGTTTGGGTGAAGAATAAACTTAACACAGCACTTATAAGGAGCTTGAACTTCATAAGAGAGACGCCACTCAGTTGACCTGATACAGTGAGACCAGGTACTGGGTGGGTCGTGGCATAGGTGGGAGTATATACCGGGGCTGAGGCATAACAACTTGGATGGGGTGTTGCGTGACGTTTACTTGGTTGTGGCGAAGGAGTCCCCGGAGACGATGAAGAAGGTTCGGCAGAGATATGCGGTGATAAGGGTTGTACTCCGTGGCTTGGAGGGCGAGGGCAAACACGTCTGGGTGGTAGCCGGGTGCCTTAACGGCCAACTTGGACAATAAAACCCCATAGGAGTATGTGTCCGAGGCCCTGGTGCTCTCTTGGCCCAGACACACCTCGGGGGCCATCCAGGGGAATTTGTTGGGATCACTGTTACACCTAATGTTCTCGTGTGAGTAACAGGCCAGACCCACGTCAATGATACTGACTTGTGGGTTGGATGGTGACCCGTTGACGAGGATGTTGTCTCTCTTTAGGTCATTGTGGATGAGACCAGATCGGTGAAAGTCTTCGAGCTGCTCCCCGATCCGCAGACCCACCTCTATCAAGTTGTATCGAGTCTCCCGCTCGTCATGTAGCTGATTTAAGATGTCTTCCAAGGTGACGAGGCCCTTGAACTCTTGCAGAATAGCTGGTGGATCATTGCAGAAGCCGGTGACCCTTGGTGCTCCACCGGCCCCGTCGAGACGAAGCAAGGCTTCAGTTTCTTGCCAAAAACTTCTTACCGCATGAGACTTATGGGCAACCTTCAGGACTGCCGTCTCCCCACCCCACCGAACTAAGTAGGCTGTGCCATGTGTTCCTGTCCCTAAAACGCAAATGTTGTTTTGAACCAGATTCTCCACCTCGTCCCAGTACAGATCGCGCACAGCTTCCATGTTAATATTTTGGCCGATCACTTCCCAAGACCCAGGGACCTCAACTCAAAATTTGGGGTTGAACGAATAAAATACCTGTTTAGTTAGGTTGGAATTTGTGTTTGTTTCAAATAGTAATGAGAAACTTTTGTGTTATAGTGTAGGGCTTGTGTGTGGTGAAGATGTGTTGTAGTGAACATGTATAGTACTAGTGTTGTGGTGAACATGTAGTACTAGTGTTGTGGTGAACATGTAGTACTAGTGTTGTGGTGAACATGTAGTACTGGTGTTGTACTGAACATGTAGTACTAGTGTTGTAGTGAACATGTAGTACTAGTGTTGTAGTGAACATGTGTTGTAGTGAACATGCATAGTACTAGTGTTGTAGTGAACATGTAGTACTAGTGTTGTAGTGAACATGTGTTGTAGTGAACATGAATAGTACTAGTGTTGTAGTGAACATGTATAGTACTAGTGTTGTAGTGAACATGTGTTGTAGTGAACATGTATAGTACTAGTGTTGTAGTGAACATGTAGTACTAGTGTTGTAGTGAATATAAAAGGTAGTGAACATGTATAGTAATTAGTGTTGTAGTGAATATGTGTTGTTAGAACATGTATAGTACTAGTGTTGTAGTGAATATGTATAGTACTAGTGTTGTAGTGAACATGTGTTGTTGTGAAATATGTAGTAATTAGTGTTGTAGTGAATATGTGTTGTTGTGAACATGTAGTAACTAGTGTTACAGTGAATATGTGTTGTAGTGAAATATGTATAGTACTAGTGTTGTAGTGAACATGTATAGTACTAGTGTTGTAGTGAACATGTGTTGTAGTGAACATGTATAGTACTAGTGTTGTAGTGAACATGTGTTGTAGTGAACATGTATAGTACTAGTGTTGTAGTGAACATGTAGTACTAGTGTTGTAGTGAACATGTGTTGTAGTGAACATGTATAGTACTAGTGTTGTAGTGAACATGTGTTGTAGTGAACATGAATAGTACTAGTGTTGTAGTGAACTATAGTGTTGTAGTGAACAGTGTTGTAGTGAAATATGTAGAACTAGTGTTGTAGGAACATGTAGTACTAGTGTTGTAGTGAACATGTAGTACTAGTGTTGTAGTGAACATGTAGTACTGGTGTTGTAGTGAACATGTATTACTAGTATGTATGTGTGTATGTATGTATGTATGTGTGTATGTATGTATGTATGTATGTATGTGTGTATGTATGTATGTATGTATGTGTGCATGTATGTATTTTTGTATTAAGATGCCGCCCTTGGCTTTAGTGGATGTGTTTTCAGGCGTGGATGATGAGCGGTCTATTGTGTGTGTGTGTGTGGGTGTGAGTGTGTGTGGGTGTGGTCACCTAACTCATTATCACCACCACCACCACCACATCCCTCATTCAACACAACCGGAGGAAGAAAACACAAAAAACTCCGAAAAACAGAAAGAAAAAAAACAGAAAAAAATCTCGTATACCGTCACACCATCCCCAGGACAGGCCGTGATAGAAGTGGTATCAAATGTCTACTTTCAATTTCCAACAGCAGAACCGACCGTCTGACCAAAGGATGACAGTACCTTCTCTTCTGTCTACCTATGGGGGGGAGAGGTGAGGAGACGGAGAGATGAGAGGTGAGGAGACGGAGAGAGGAGAGGTGAGGAGACGGAGGGAAGAGAGGTGAGACGGAGGGAAGAGAGGTGACGAGACGGAGAGAGGAGAGGCGAGGAGACAGAGAGGAAAGGTGAGGAGACGGAGAGAGGAGAGGTGAGGAGACGGAGAGAGGAGAGGAGAGGAGAGGTGAGGAGACGGAGAGAGGAGAGGAGAGGTGAGGAGACGGAGAGGAGAACATGTACTCAGTA